TAAAAAATTAAAATTAAAAAATAAAATTGTGTTTAATTCAAAAACCAACATTTTGGGAGAACTACTTGGTTCTCATTTCCAAACTAAGGAACTTTTCAGACACTACTAAAGGAAGGAAGGAAGCCACGTAGTTGGACTGTAGGGCCGCTCGCCTGCAGCATGCACTCTACAAGTGGCTGCCCTTGAGTTACTGTGGGGACCTGATCATTAAATTAGCTCTTAGACTCACCTAGAAGATTATTTTAAAACCCGTTCAGAATGGAAGAGGACAGCTGGAGGAGGATGCCAGGCTGGTTCAAGCACTGCCTTCTCTCCGCCTCTACACAGATGGCTCACCATTTCTACATCTCTCCCTGAGTGGAGAGAGAGGGGTGTCCCAAGTAATTCTCCCTCACAGGTATCACACTATAGACTTGCACCTCTTGTTCACTCATGCAACTCCTATAGGAAGCTAGACTTGAAGCAGAAGTACCCATCTTACAAGCCAAGTTTTGCACCAAAGCCACGATTCATGATCCATCCCCAGAACCAAACAAGCTCAGGGTCACAAACTGTTCATAAGTATCAACCCCAAATAGGACTTCCATGTACAGCCAGTGGCAAAAGTAGAGACCAACTCCAAGAGGACATGACAAGCTAGACTGCTCTTGCCCACCTGGGCCTAAACACCCCACCAATTCCCAGGGTTCGGTCTGTCCCAGGCTTGGTGTGGCTGCCTCAGCACAGAATCAGAAGCCTAGGTTTGAGGCAATCGGTGGCAGGTCGATGCTCCAACAGTTGATGCTACGGGTCTTGGTACAGAGACCTGCTCTCTCAACACACCAAAGCTTGCTGCCATCAGTAAGATTAGCCCCTGGAAACAAGGCACCAAAAGCCACAACAAACCGTACATTGAGAGTAGCCGGGCTGCTGGCTGTCCCCCGCTTCTTCCATACCGTCTTTGTGATCACTTCTGTTAAAAAAAGTTATCATGTTGTCAAGAAGAATAATCAGAAATTAAGAACGTATAACAACAGGTCTTCTTTGTGCCCACTCCTTTGGCTAAGGGGCAGTTTGGATGGTCTCACCTTTCTTTTGCATCCAGAAAAGCTTTTGCAAATGGGTTGTATTTAATTTTAAGAGCAGTGATCTGGAAAAAAAAATATGTTTACTATGTTGCATTTATCGTTAATCAGAGGATGTAGTGCAACCCCAAGATATTGGGAAACACCATGTTGGAATATTCAAAACCTACTAAGAGTTCTTTCAAGATGTCTTTTTCTATGTTTGGATCTGATGTGGCCAAGAAATTGCACAGAGGAGCACATTTATCGACTCGTAAATACCCAATTTCTAAATAGAAGCACAATAAATTTAACCAACCACTGGCAACACTCCATGTGAATAAATTAAAATGGCTTGAGCCATAACCAAGTCTGCCAAAGAAATACACGTATCTGCTGGCAAATGCTTGTTCATGATCTACACTGACTACTGAGCAAGTTTTCTGTACTGGCATCTCGCCAGCCTCTGTATGCACCGGAGTCCTCACACTCCACAGAAGGAAGCAGGACCCCGTTAGGATGATTTTCAAAGCAGGGAGGTACCTCTCACACTCAAAAATTCTCACGGCACTTTACTTTTTAGGCATTCTTTACTTTAAGCATCTGGTACACACTGCTAGTTCTGGACACTTTAATGGAGAATTTTTAAAAGGAAACTTTTTGAAAGAGGATTTCTTTTAAACCTCTCTCCCCTCTTCCCTGACCTCACGTTGTGGTAACTAGGAAAGGCCACCAATCCTGGTGTCCCCCACATGTGGCCCACCATCCCCCTACCCCATGCTCCGAGAGCCACACACTAAGAAAGTTTCCTCACTGTACTCTTACCTCCTCGTTCTGGTAAGCGGTCACCGCTATGAACTGCGTCTCAGGAAAGCAGTGGCTGGTGATCATGCGCTGCGGACCTCCGACTCTCACTATGTGAATCCGAGGCTCATACTTGTGTAAAGAGTTCAACATGATCTGAAGAGACACACACACACAGTCACCCAAGTCCTACTTAAGACAACAAAATAACTATTCTTCTACTGTCAAGAAGAAAAAGCATCCAAGCTCCCAAGAAGTGTCTAACTGTTGAGGGACAGACACAGGAGTCCTCAGGTGATACTCCTCAGTGGTCAAGACCCACTGCTTCCATAACTGTGAGCTGCCAGTACCACTTCAGTAAAAGCACTGAATGCCCATGACAAAGTCCTCTCTCCTGGTGGGACCCCATGAAAAGCCTCAGCCCACCTGTGCTCCAGGAACAATGCTGAAGGAAAGAATGTTCTTTGGAAAAGGAACCAAGCTTGTTCAGACTTTAGCAATAGTCCCACCAGGAGTGTTTATTAGCTTAATGTGACTGTTACCATCGAAGCCCATCTCTTCAACCTCAGGAGAGACTAGGGTTCTCTTGTGAGGGTTCCCATGCTTGTTCTCAAGACCTTGGTGTGACCATTATCAGCTCAGCATAAACAGCCACAAAAGATTTAATTGGGAGAAGCAGTGGCAGTTTCTCCTGGGCAGAGGGGGCCTCCTGTCCCCATGGAGAGACCCTTCAGGACAGCAGCAGAGGTACACTGTCTTGTGTCCCAGCCCTCCAGGTTCCATGGCCCTACCTGGCCACCTCCGTTAAGCTTGTTGGTGAGCTTGACTTTGCTGAAGGAGACAGGGGCCTTCATCCAGTGAGCCCCGAAGTTGGGCGAGTCGGGGTGGATGTAGACGCAGCTGGGCGCCTGGGGCTCAGGCTTGCCTCCGGGCACCCACTCCCCATTCACGTACTTCCAGCGGTGGTTGTCGGCTGCCACAAAGTCCAGCAGGAAGGAGTACATGGCGTTGGGATCCAGGCCCGACACGTTCACCTTTAGCACTGGGAACATTCTCCTGCAGAAGGCAGCAAAATCCAGAAGGACTTGGATCTAAAGCCTCAGATGGGCGCTGAGGGCAGCCACCCTGCGAACTTCCAAAGGGGTCTCTGAATGGGCCCGTTGCACTCTCCATATCCAGGGCCGAAGGAGCACGTAGGACCCGGCAAGCCTTCTGGAGCATGAAGCCAAACCCGGTGAGCACACGCTGGACCTAGACCTGCCCCTCGGATCGCGGGTTGGGACCCCTACCCTAACCTCTCATCTCCCCTAAACTTCCGCAGAAGCCCCCTAAGAGCGCCAGCTAGGGATCCCCTAAGGACTAAGGAACGCCGCGAGAACAGGGTCCAGTCAAAAGCTCTCCGGGGCCGAATTGCACCCGACTCCCCGCGGGCCTCGGCGGCACCTACCTGCCGTTCTTCGTCACGATCATCTCGTTGGTGAGCTCCTTGAAGCGTAGCCACAGCTCGCTCTCCTCCAGGCCCACGCGCAGCTCGCGCTCCGTGGGGTCGCCCTTCTCGCTGCCCGCCTGCAGCTCGCTCTCCACGGCGCTCAGCAGGTGGTCCACGCGGTATTGCAGGCTCTTCCCCGCGCCCTCCGCGCTGGGGGAGCCCATTCTCCCGCGGGCCTCCCCGCCGCCCCCGAGCCAAGACGGGCTCGCTACCTTGCAGCCACCTTCACCCCGCTTGGCTGCCGCACCCGTCTCAGTTCGGACGCCCAGGAAGGGCCGCAGCTGGGATGCGGGGGGAGGTGCGGGGAGCAGGGCTGGGGAGAGGTGATTCCCCTTGAACTCCCTCGCGACGCGCCCGGAGTAGGGCTCCGGGAGAGAAATTTGGCCCCCTCCCCATAAATAGAGCGGCGGCGGCCCGAGAGGGGCGAGGCGGATTGGGCCGCGCACCCTTTGAAGTGCGGGGCCGCCGCCCATTGGCCGCGAGCGGCCATATCAGACCAGCCGGGCGGGCCCGGGCCCGGGCCCAACAATGACCCCCGCGCTGCTTCCTGTGAACCCCGGGCCGGGCCTCCGCGCCGCCCGGCCCCCACACCCCCGCCCTCCCACAAATGTTTGCACCTCCATCAAAGCGGCGGGGCGGGCCGGGAGGAGGGCGGGAGCGGGGCGTCGGGCGGGGGCGTCGGGCGCTCGCGCGGGGTCTACCTGGGCGTCGCAGCGCCGAGCACCTGCGCCCCTCCGGCTGCCAGCGTGTGCCGCCGGCGTTCGGGCCCGGCTGCCGCGCCCTGGCTCTGCCCTCCAGGCGCGCAGCCTCCGCAGCCCCCAGGACCTGGTCAGCCCGCTCGGCCCGGCGTCTGTAGCCCCTCTGCGCTCACCTGTCCGGAAAGGAGGGGTCTTCAGCTCCCAGGATGTGCAGGAACCGGAGGGCGAGCGCTGCGGGTGCGAGGGCGGCCCGCGAGGCTTTGCTGAGCGTGGGCGCCGTTGCCCCGCCGGCCGCAGCGCCAAGCGGCGCGGCCAGCAGCTGGTTTATTACCTTTCGGTGAGAACCTCCGCGGGGACAGCGGGGAGAAGGTGACAATGAGCAGGAAATAGTTCAATGGGGTCTCTTTAAACAATAACATTCCTTTAAAACGGGAGCGGGCAGAAGGAAGGAGGCAGCGGCTCCGCCGTACCCCGGCCTGGGAGCTCCCGCGCCCTTCGCCCACGCCCGCCGAAGCAGACCGGGACTCCCGGCGAGAGCTGCGCCCACGCGGCCCATTTCCCTCGCCAGGAGGGCTGGCCTGGACCTGGGTCTGCCCGCCTGCGCCCCCGCGCAAGCTGCCCGGGCCCTAGCCCGCGCACCCGCGCCGGAGGCCCCCGGCAGGGCTAGGGTTGCCCGCGGCTCCCTGAGCAGCTCTCGAGCTCGGAGCTGAGGCCTGGGACTGCAGAGCGCTGCCCGGCCCCGGGGATGTGCGGAGATGCTTCGAGGGCTGTCTACAGGGGCGCTTCCTCCGAGACCAGGACTGCTTTGGCTCCCGACACCGAGCCCCGCCCTCTGGAGCCGCCTTCACCCGGCTCCTCCGGCCTCCAGCTCCAGGGAATCCCGGGCGCACCTCACTTTCCAGCCTGGAGCGTCTAGGCGCTGAGACTCCGAAATGCCCACACTTAAAGAGGCAAAGTGGAGGGCTGTAGCGGCAGGAGAAGCCAAAGCCCTGGTCTGTCTCTGCGCTCCTCTTGCTTAGTGATCGATTTCCCTAAATTCTCAGAAACTTACGAAAACCCTTCTAGAAACTGTGATCTGAACGGGAGGGGCACAACCAATTAAGGGCCAAACTAGAGCCGGAAATATTACTGTTCTCTAACACGCACAGTGAAATTTAACGCGCCCCAGAAGACGTCCCCAGTTGAGCGCGATCCAGAAGAAGGACCGTTTGAGGTGTCTCCTTTCCCGTCCCAATGCCCCCCCCCCCCATTTCTGATCTTTTCCCCTGGGTTCTCAGGACCACGTTCACTTCCCGGCCTTTTCAAGGAAGGCTGCAGTGCATGACAGTTTACAGCCAAAAACTTCCTCCAGCCAGGCTGTAAAGAATTCCCAGCTAATAATATGGTGCTTCCTTGGGCGGCAGGTGGGGGCTGGTCAGTCTCACTACTTCTCCCTCAAGGTCTACCTCTTTGGGGGAGGCACAATCCTACAGAAAAATGGGGGCAAAGTCTCATGGCTGCCCTCTGAGAAGAAACTTCTAACAAAATATTTAGGAACCACAAGTACACCTCAGATACAGGATTCCCTTTCTCAGATGAGAACCCTTTGTACCTTCGTGCGTAGAGTGGCACAGGCACAAAGCTGACCCAGAGGAGAGGACAGCATCCTGTGCCTTGACCTCTTATTCAAGGAAAAATAACAGTTCTTATTCTGTATTGGGTGCCCGTTAGAGGGTGTACTGTGTGTTCATCAGTGCATAACCACCATCCAAGTCTGCTTGTGGGTGAAGATGGAGCCCTTCAGTGCCTTTCCATCTCAGGTTTCAGTGTGCACTCCTCACCTTTTCCCGCTTGGCATTTCCCCGCAGTAACTGAGTACATTTAACACACAAGTCTTCACAAAGTCCAAGACTACAAGTGACACATAAAGCTCGCTCAGCAGCAGATACTTCTGTCACCAGTTGGTCTGTCTTTCCTTCGAAAGAAACCTAGTGATGCTGGTTATTGTTTTTAAAGTTGCATTTTTTAAAAAAGGCCACTGGATTGTGTTGGGTGTCTGTGATTGCAGAAAAGAATGAAAACACATTTTTTTCAAGTCTCTTAATAGTTACAGGGGTCCACTGTGCTCAGGGCTCATCGTCACTGAGTTTACTAGAAGAGGGCCACTGGGCTGTCAACTTCTGACATTGCCAGTCCTGCAGATAACCCACTATTATGGACAACTGGACTATAGTGGATTATTTTGTTGAATTCACTCACCTACAATATCTAAACAAATGGAATACCCACCTCTGACAAAACTAAACAAAAAAGGGGGATATAAATGAATGATAATTTTTTATCTGTACATATAAAATAGGAAAGATATACAGCTACTTTCTCTTAGTTCAATGAGAAGAAAGATTTGTACTAATAGTGTTTGGACAGAATATCATGTCTGCATCTTGTACTGTGAATAACCACTACAAACACAATATGCAATGTATTAATTATTGAAACTGTCCTACTAATCAGTTTTGAAACTATCCCATTGCTTTTTCTCAATAACATTTAAAAATAAAAAGATGAATCTCAGCATGGGGTGCTCTGAGCTATAGAGGGCTGCACCCCACTCAAATGGAACTGGATGAACAGCCATGAGCTCCTTTTTGCCTGTGCTTTGTGAGCTCTGAGCTTCATCACATTGGACCGTGCTTGGTTGTTTTAGTGACAGGAGTTCACACATTCAAAACCAACAAAGCTGGTGAGGCCAAAAGTTTGGGATTGTGACACTTCTCCTTAAAACTCAAGCACTTCTGCTCCCTACTACTTGGAATGGGAGGTTGCAGTGGAAAAATCTGTTGCTGGCTGGATTGGGTGCTGTCTGTGTTGGGCAGCTGGCATGTCCTCTGCTTGGACACTGAAGCCTTGGTCTTGCCAGCTCCAGATTGCCTCCCATATGGACACAAAGGTGCTTTTTCGTTCACTCTTCTTGGGATGCAGAGAACCCTCTGCCCTAACCATGTCTCCATAGTTCCTATCCATAGCTGGCCAGGGTTTTGGCTACTCTGTTCCAATAGCTCAGAGGTTATCCCCAGTTCCAATCACTGCCTACATTGGCTTCTCCTGCCTTCTCGCCTCTGTTGTTCCTTTCTCAGTCTTTCTGCACGTGTGAAATGGCTTTTTAAGTATTTTTTCCAGTTCACCTCAGTGTCACTTCTGGGTTGCACTGCCTCAGAGATTTTAGTTCACTGCTTTGTTTTCGGTTTCCGGCAGTCCTGACTTCCTCTTCAGGACATAGGCTGCAGGCTTTTTGCTCCCTTGGGCTGTTTCTATTTCTTAGAAGCTTCAGTTTGGGTCTGAGTCAGAATACCAGTCTCTCTCGGAGGTGACTGCACTCCCTACTCTCCCAAGGCTGACTGTCCTCTGAATCTTCTGCATACCCCTCCCCCTTAGCCTTTAACCCTTTGGGAGTTCCAGTGCTCTCCCTCTCCTCCTTCCCCCTTCCCAGCCAGCCCCCACTTGGGCTTGATCTCACCTGGAGGGAAGTCTTTTCACAGCTTTTGTGAGACCCAGAGCTCACCTTCATCACTGTGAATGCAGCCCTTAGCTCTCTGTGGGGACACCAGGTCTTCCCAGCCAGGGATGCAGGCAACTCGTATGTCTAAGGAGAGGCAGCTGCCGGTGTACCCAAGACTCATCGTGAAGTGTGTCACGGAGCATTTCACACGTAGCAACACTGGAATGCTGAACTGAACAGTAGTAGCCTGACACCTAAGTGCCTCAGAACCTGGAGAGGCCTTTCCATCCTTCGTCATTTGTGATTCAAATGATCAGTTGCCTTCAAGAGACTAGGAAAGATTCCTGAGAGAAACTATTACACATTAAGAAAGAAAGGAGGGGCTGGGGAGACGGCTCAGTAGAATAAGAGCTTCCCTGGCAAGTACAAGGGC